CAAAAGAGGGGGGGGGGGGGGGGGCCTTTACTTTTTTAATTTTTTACCCTGGGAAAAACAAACCCCCCCCCCCCCCAAGAAGAGCGTGGCCGGCTGTGAAATGTAAACCAAGAAACACTCCACATTAAGTGACGTAGTTTTGACCGTGTGGGAGTAAATCGCTTGGGGGGGGGGGCACTTGAATGAAGAGATGAGTCCGCGATATGGGCCAAATTAACGGAAGCGTGGGGGAAAACAGTCATTAAAAAATGCGAGCATGTAAAAATAGTTCTGTTGACTGGAATAAAACACATGAGAGTTGTTGTCGGTGATGTCAGTCTGAGTTGGGCCGTTGACCACAACCACGAGGGATTAGATCAACGATATTTTTTTAAAAGTATATGCAAACCAAGCGCAACAATTATTTCAACGGCAGAAATAGCTATCGTGAAGAGTTCAGCTTTACCCCTAATCTAATAAGTTGTTGGGGTTTTTCATAGGAAAGAAATACTTGATGAAGTCTGGATGTGTTGAATTCTATCATTTTGGATACAACCCTAGGATCTTTGTGTCATTAAATTAAGCGTGTTTCTTAAGGGTAAAGTAAGTCATTGGCTTTACACTGGACAAGTAGTGGTCATCTTGCGATTTACATTGAACAAGTAGCGGCCATCTTGTGATTTACACTGGACAAGTAGTGGTAATCTTGTGATTTACATTGAACAAAAAGTGGTCATCTAGAATTTACATTTGACATTTCATAATCATATAGTGATTAATATGTGACAATATATGGTCATCTAGTGATTTACATTGTACAAGTAGTGGTAATCTTGTGATTTACCTTGAACAAGTAGTGGCCATCTTGTGATTTACATGTGACAAGTAGTGGCCATCTTGTGATTTACGATTCGTTTCCATATGTTATGCTGTGCTCTATACTGAAACCACAACCCTCCAATTCTGCTACCATGACTCCACAATGTCGTGTCTGCAGACGGCTCTCCAACTCGTCTGGACGTCAAAGTGCAGCGATGTCTAATTCGGGCCAGCGCAATCCAAACTGGTACACTATCACAATCAGAGTCCTCCTCCTGCATCTATTTCTGGTCGGCGCGTGCTCAGCCCAGACCAAAGAGGACGCTGTCCAGGAAGACATCCGAGCCTTGGCGTCTGCTTTTCCCGGTTGCTACAGCAACGCCCAGCAGTACCACAAGCACGCCCAGCGGGGGCTGCCCCCCAACAGACGAAGCTTCCTCATCCGCTCGGAGATCTACCGCGTGTCGTCTGCGATGTTCAACGATTCCCTGACCGTCTTCTTTCAGGACTTCACCAAGTCCGCGCCGCAGCCTTTCAGGTCCGGGCTCTACAGCTTCGTATTCGATTACGCCATGAACGTCTTCAGAATGCGGACGATAAAACTGGCAACGGACTTTCTCAAACTGGACCCGACGCACAAGTCCCGGGGGCACGTCATCCCCATCGAGTACATCCACAGGGCGTTGCAGACTCAGAACATGAGCGTCGCAGATCTTCTCTCCTACAGGGCGTGCGATATGTTTTGGAAGCGGATCGGGGAGAGCACGTTCGTCGGGATAACGGGACCCCAGTGTCTCGGGGCGCTTGGGAAAGAGCAGGTGAGGGCACCGCGCACGGGATTTATTTTCTCACTCAGAGTGAGATTTATTTTCTCACTCATTCAAAACTCGAGCGTTTGAACATGTATGAGAGTAAACGTAATATATGAGAGAACACATCATTGTTGTGGGTCTTTATGAGAATAAACATAATATATGAGAGTAAACATATATGAGAGTATATGTTCGATTCTCTATGAGGCTTTCTTTCTAGTTCTATTGTTCAATTTGTCTAGAAGAAATGTGCGGGAAATTGTTGGCAATCCTCGGTGATTTTTAGTAAACCCATTCACCGTGCCCTGGTTGGGGGGAATTAATTGATAATTTTAACAAACCCCTATAATGAACTCTTATTACAAAATATCAATATTTCTCAGAAGAATACATAATTACAATGTGGTCGAAGAAGTTGGTATATAAAATCTCTACAGTGAACTCAATTAATGAAAGTAGTCAAACGAAGCCTGAACTTTTCTTTTCGGGTGTTTTTGTGAAGACTTCTTTTTATTTACTTTTTAAAATTCTTATTACAATTAAATAGCTAAAAATTGTATATAGTTTTGTTTTTTTTTTAAACATTCATAATTAAATTTAACATACTATAAATTCCAACCATTCTCAATTAGGCATAGCCATAAATATATCTTTTTGAATTAATTATTAACATATTTTGGTTTAAAAAAAAAAAAAATTAGTTAATTTTTTCCCCATCCAAACCAGGTCAGAATCGGTGTCTCCATGACGCTCACTGACGACAAACTCCTGCTGACAGAAGGATGGTACAATATCAAGGACGGAACAAGCATATCCGAGGTCAAGGTCCCGTATCATCTCCAGAAGATTAAAGCCAAGGACGCGGCATCCAGGGCCGCCACTCTGTACAACGACTCCCCGAGCCCGGTGAAGCCCAAAACCAGACCCGCGTTCAAACCCAAATCGCTGGAGACCAAGAAGGACTCGATCCCAAGACGACGGAGCCGAGACTTTTACTCCAGGGGTCACGCGCCCGGACGTCATGACGCGAACTTAAATCACGGCATCCACGACAGGGTTCTCGGCACGTTCAGCCAGCTGGCGGCTGCCTTAACGTCCGGATATGACGTCAGATTCCGCGTGGAGCTGTCCGCGTGCTCAGTGCCGCCACAGATAAAGCTGGACCGCTTGTCTTTCGGGGGCAAGATCAGAGACTTTGTCTTCATAAGACAAGACGGCGCCAAGAACGAACGGAACGACTATATTTACTCCGTGACCAAGACGACGGTGATGGGGCCCCAGGGTAAGCATGAAGTCATTACTCTCATCAATGAACTCAAAAATACATTTGTTTTGATATTGACACTCGAACTAATCACTTTAAAGAAACCACTTTTTGTGTGTGTTAACATTGTAAACTAAATAAACCTTGAAGCTTACAAATCTCTTTGAAGAACTATCGCAGTCTTTGGTTCGCAGTCATATGCCTCACTTTTGTAAAACATTACACCGTGTGAACTCCTTGAGGCTGACAAATCTGTTTGAAGAAAACTCCCGCAGTCTTTGGCCCCATGCCTCACAGGAAGTTGACTCGTCCTCATTAGTTTTAATGAGGCATGAATGGGTGACGTTGTGTGAGATGTAAAGAATATAGGTCACGGTCTGCCAGGAAGGCACCTCGTTATTCTTTAGTGACACTTACAGCGTATTCGACCTATAGCTCCAATCTTTACTCATACATGGTGATATCACTGACACGTGGTGATTATAATCTCTAAGACATGACAATATAGTCACTAAAAGTTGGTAGTATAGTCACTTGAACATGATGAAATAATCTCTAAAACATGATGATATAGTCACTAAAACATGGGTGTATAGGTCCCTAAAACATGGTGGCATAATCTCTAAAACATGATGATATAGTCACAAAAAAGATGATGATATAGTTGCTATTAAATGGTGATATAATCTCTAAACAATGGTTGTATAATCACCTAAATTACAATACGGTGATAGAGATTCCAAAATGTTCCCACGAAGGCGATGTAACGGCCAATAACTAAAAGATTCAAATACATTTTTCAATTGTAAAAATTATCAATATGGAAGTTAGTTAAACTTAAAGATGGGGTTACATTCTTCATTTTAATGGCGTCACAACTTGAAGACGAACCTTCACATACTGCAACTTCACATTGTAATGCTTCACATACTAAAAGAAGAACCAAAAAGGCATTGAGGGAACCGTCACATTTGATTTCTTGGTGTTTTCTGAATCAGGTTCCCAGTACATCAGCAGAGAGTTTACCTTCCTGCGGGGCGGTCGTGTGAAGGTGAAGGTCATCAAGAGCTATCCCGATCCGGCGAAACTGGGCAAGGAGTACAGCTTTGACTGTCGGCTGTTTGACGAGCAGCAAGGGTGAGCTGTTTTTTTTTTTTTTAATTCCAGATTCGATTAAACATCATCACTGGTCTGTGTTTTTTTTTTTTTTTTTTTTTTTTTTTTTTTTTTTTGCGTGACGTCATTTGCGAACGACCCCTTACACCGTGTCAGATAGGTGTCAGACTGTATGAAAACGGGGTTAAAATAATCTGGTGTCGATGGCAAAGACCTTAGAAGCGAATCTTGAAATTCGCGCCACTAGGAAAGGTGTTGTTTGATCGGGGTGTTCCTCTTTAGCCAACACTTTTAGCCTATCTTATTGAGTGGGATGTTTTCGGCCGACCAAGGTGTTGTTTGATCGGGGTGTTCCTCTTTAGCCAACACTTTTAGCCTATCTTATTGAGTGGGATGTTTTCGGCCGACTGACACGTTTTAGCGACCAAATGCAGGGTTTGTTGTTTTTTATTTTAGTTGTGGGGAGGGGCGGGAAATAACTGGCTAACCCCTGGCGGCACTTATCCCAGTTACGCTGAAGTTGCATGTCAACATACCTATGGGTCAATATCTTTTTTTTTAATGTCCAACTGGGCTTCAGCCGGCCGCTTGAAATTCCGTGTGAATTAGTCAACGCCAGTCAACGCCGGTCAACGCCGATTAACTTTAAGTGCCTTACCAGTGGTTCTCAGATTATCATATTTTGGGGGAAAAGGAGGGTCTTAAAATAAATATGTATTCAACCATTACTTTAGTTTCAAAGCCAAATAAAGATTTAACCACTGTTAAACTTCTACTTAGGATCCAAGAGACATTTTTAAAGGATATTTTTTTGTATGGAAATTTCAAACGGCCCTCAGCACCAGGTTGGCGATTCTGTTAATCTCGTTCGTCAAACTAGCTGAAATTATTCACACCCTAGTGACGTCAACACTTTAGACCAATTACAGTGGTGGCTTTTTTAATCAAAATGCTGTTGCACTGTACTGTGTAAACCTGTCAGATCACCGATATACCTCCCCTCCCCCCCCCAACATAACTTGAACAGTTTTTCCTGACCAATTAATCAAGCCTAATGAATTAGATCTTTTGACACGGAGGAGAAGAGGCTGTTTCCGGTCGCGCGCAGTAGCACTTCCGATAATCGCTCGACATAGCACGGAGTGTAAATGGTGGCGAGCTCTTGCGTCACAAGGGAATTTTTAGACTGTAAAATGAAGCCGGGAAGAGAAGAAACAGAAATGCGGTCCTGCTTGGCTTTGTTTTCTCGTAACACGACCCCAGTCAAACGGAAGTCTCTAGTGTTGTTTGGGTATGCATATAACAACTCAGACAAACGGAATTGTGTAGTTTTGAGCGAGTAGAACAGCTCAATCAAACGGAAGTCTGCCGTGTTGACCAAGTTTGCATTCCGTATAGTACACGTGTCACATATCTGCAGCGTTAGTCTGATCACTTTGAAGATTTTGAAAAAGGTGTTACTTTTGTCAATGAAAACTTCCCAGGGATATTGGTTGCTGGCGATCTGTTTGGTGAGCTAACTTATGTGAAACAATTTTTCTCACCTGCTGAGCTGGAAGAATGGAACTCATAAAACATGTTTTTGGATAAAAAAAAAATATTTCAACATTTCAAAGCAAATGATGTACCTTCTGTAAATTTGCAACTGCTGCTTGAGTTTTCATTCAGCCTCCCCGGCACAAATTTTCATGCACCTGTGGAGCGAGCTTTCTCTCGGGTAAACAATGTTTGGACGTCTGACAAATCGCAGATGAAAGTAACCACTCTGAGAGGTGTTTGGATTGTTAAGCGTAGCATTGATCTAAAAATCTCCTCAATTCCATGATGTTCTTCTTGAAGATTTCTTAAAAGCAATTCACGGGTCTGGAAAAAATAAACCTGGAGTAAACCATAGGTCGCAGCACATTAGAGGTCGCGTCCTTCAAAACTGCAATGCAATCCCGAGGTCATGATTACTTGCACGGTAGCCTGACTTAGATGTTATTATTTATTTTTTTATTTTTTTTAGTGAGATGGCAAATTGTCGTCTGCGGCTCACTCCGGACTTACACGTAAGAACTTTGCTCAGGTCAGTGGCTCAACGTTTCTTCTTGAAGATCAACTATTCTACTTGAAGGTCAGCGATTCTTCTTTGAAGCATCGTCTTCTCTTCTTACGTGGTTCATTTCACTCAAACAGTTGGGAGGGGGGGGGGGACTTCACTATGTTAATTTTATCATCTGTGACAGACTACACCCCCCCCCCCCCAA